TTCACTCTGTCAAACTAGGGCCTCTCTGACAGGCTATACCCATGTGCATTCTCCTGAAAATGGCCACGGGGTTGGGGGGAGACTTCTCTAGGTCTGGACCACTTTTGCTTTTTGCTGTCCTTTGGTGGGACACACGATAGGCTCCTGTCCTAGCTACACAGCTTCTTGTCAGGTGTTGAAGGAAGCTCAGAGAAAAGGGGTCAAGGGCCCTACAAGTCAAGGTCAGTCTGTCCTGGAGTCAGCCACTGGGCAGCAGCCAGAGCCTTGCTTAAGGGAACCAGTGAGTGCCTATGCTTAGGGGTGGGAGGAGATGACACACTCAGAGCTGGTTTGGTTTGTACCTTCCTCCCTCTGTCCATGTCTTCTTTCTCCCCCTGCCCCCAACCCTTCTCTCGTCATCTTTCTACTATTCACAAGTCATTAACTTCATCATCATCATCATCATCATCATCACCACCACCACCATCATCACCACCACCATCATCATCATCACCACCACCACCACCATCATCACCACCACCATCATCATTATTGTTTTATTATTACCTTTGTATTGTTCATCTTTCCACACATGGGAGCTACAGAGTGAGTTCCAGGACAGGCTTCAGAGCCACACAGAGAAACCCTGTCTTGAAAAGCCGCCCCCCCCCCAAAAAAGCAAGCAAGCAAGCACACACTGTTTGGCCTCCCGAATCTGACTTCCTCTGCTATCGTGTATCACCATCATGATCCCAACAGCTCACCCCGGGGAGAGGTGTTCATGATCCCCTCTAGTCATCCAGCTCTAGAATAAGTTGGGGGTCAGCAAGATGACCCAACAGGTAAAGCCCTTGCTACGAAAGCCGAGAGACCAAAGTTCTACTCCTGGAACCCCTGTGTCCTGTAAAAGTGGTAGAGGAGACCTGACCCCACTGAATTGTCTTCTACCTCTACGCATGCACGCATGTGTGTGTGTTAGTCCCACTGGATGAGAATAAGCCCACTACCACTGTTGTTGTTGTTGTATTTTTCGAGACAGGGTTTCTCTGTGTAGCTCTGGAGAGCAGGCTGGCCTTGAACTCACAGAGATCCGCCTACATTCCAGGGGCTGGGTTTAAAGGCCTGTGCCACCACCACCCGGCAACCACCACACTTTTTGATCCACATTTGAAGCAAGCTTCATTAAATACTGGCCAGGTCCATCCCTGGGATCCCCCAAGTATGGTGCCAAATTACTTTAGTCGGGGACTTACAAAGGCAAAACCCACAGAGCTGCAAAGTTCCTACCTTCGTCCAACCAGGGGCAAGCATACATGCTTCTGATGCTTCTGTTCTTCCTGCCTCCATTCCTCCTGCCTCTGTGTGATCCAGCATGATGGCGCAACCAAGCTTGTTTACAGAAGTGAAATATTTGGCTGTCATATTACACAAACAGCTTCCAGCATTCCAGAATGTTGTCTGTCCTTGGGGAAGTGGGGCTTACAGCGTAGAGGTGTTTTTGTTTCGTAGATGTAAGCAGTGATTGAAACTTAAAAGATAACTTTAGCCATCGCGCCTGCCTGTTCCCCGTTATACACATATAGACAGACATACATATAAATAGCAACAACAACTTCTCAGTGTCTTTAACCTCCGTGGATACCCAAAGAGTTCTCTCCTTTTTCCCTCCTCTTGATCCTGCTTGAACTTTTCAGCCCTCAGCAGCTCAGGCGTTTCTCAGGCAACCTGCTTTCTCCAAGGCGAAAGGCTTCAGACAGCCCTGGCTTTGCCGCCAGTTCTCCTAGACAAGCCTACTTTCCAGGAAAACCGAAACACAAATTTAAACTGATTTACACTTTCAGTTCAATGGCAAGACTTTAAATTGTCCTCATTTCTCTTATGAGGAAAGTCTTGGGTCCTAGTAACATCAACCACATCTTTTTTCTTACAATAGACACACAATGATTCCACCATCATTGCTAACGTTATGGCGACTATGTGAAGTCTGATTTCTTGGCTCTCCCTTGTCCTAGAGCATGTGTCTTGGGATATAGGCTGGATCTGCACTGTTTGAAGATAAGATGGAATTGAGACACTAAGCCCTTTGCTGGGCCGTGGTGGCACACACCTTTAACCCCAGCACTTGGGAGGCAGAGACAGGTAGATCTCTGTGAGTTTAAGTCCAGCCTGATTTACATGATGAGTTTCAGGCTAGTCAGAGCTACGTAGTGAGACTCCATGCCCACCCCACCCCCCCCGCAAAAAAAATCAAGAGAAGAAAACAGAGGAAGGAAGGAAAGATACTCCTTCCATTAACTGACGCAGTATTAATCCACAGTTGGGCGAGGGTAACTTCTGGTGGATTTCTAGGTTAGGGTCAGCTGGCCTAAAGAGAGATGTGTGTGGAACGCCACAGGGCAGTTGCTCAGTTCTCATCATTCTGACATGAACTGGAGTCTCCTGGGAAGAAGGCCACACAATTGAAAAATTGCCTCCATCACATTCACCTGTGGACATGTCTGTGGGGTGTTTCCTTGATTAGTGACTGAGTTTCCAAACCACTGTGGGCAGCACCATCCCTAGGCAGGGGGTTCTAGGATGTATAATAAAGCAAGTTGAAAACTTGTACAGCCACTGTGGAAATCAGAATGGTAAATTCTCAGAAAATTAGGAAATAATCTACCTCAAGACCCAGCAATATTGCTGTTGGATATATACCCAAAGGATGCTCAATCATACCACAAGGACATGTGCTCAACTATGTTCATAGCAGCATTGGTTGTCATGGCCAGAACCTGGAAACAATCTAGATGCCCCTCAATCAAAGAATGGATAAAGAAAATGTGGTACATTTACACAATGGAGTACTACTCAGCGGTAAAAAAAGCAATGACATCTTGAAATTTACAGGCAAATGGATGGAGCTAGAAAAAAAAACCATGTTGAGTGAGGTAACCCAGACCCAGAAAGACAAATATAGTATCTACTCACTCATAAGTGGCTTCTAGACACAAAGCAAAAAAATCAAGTTGAACTGGGTGATGCAGGCAGATCTTTGTGAGTTTAAGGCCAGCCTGATCTAGAGAGTGAGTTCCAGGACAGCTAAGGCTGTTTACACAGAGAAACCCTGTCTCACAAAACAAAACAAAAAACAAAAAAGCAAGCAAACAAGTTGGTGGTGCACATCCAGTAGTCAGTACTCCAGTAGGCAGAGGCAGCAAGAGCTCTACAAGTTCGGGACCAGTTAGAGCCACACAGTAAAATCCTGTCACAAAAAAAGGTTAAAAAAAAAGAAAAATAAATTGAATAAACCATGGAAAGCAAGCCAGTAAGTTGCACCTCTGCTTGAGTTCCTGCCTTCGGGTTCCTGCCTTTGGTTCCCGCAATGATATTGTTTGGATGGAGCTGGTCGTGCTGTGTTTGTGGGAGGATTTAAAGCTTTTCTTTTCTTCTTTTTTTTTCTGACTAGAAAAGATTGTTGTAGACTCAGAGTTTCATGAGTTAAGACTGCTGAGAGATGCAGGCACGAAGGCCTGGTTCTTGGGGTTTCAGAGGGGGAGGTAAAGACTTCATCAGGACTTTTGGGGTGGTGTTTGGGGTTAAGAATCTATGAAAATGAAGCCTTTGCTTTGCCGGAACAATCAGTGTTTATTAGCTGGAGCTGAAGACCCAGCCACAGTTAAATAAGCATCTTGAAGTAAAGATCTTCGGGGAAGAAAGAGTTTCCTTAGGGTCAGCATGCAGAGCTGTGGTCCAGACCGTCACAGGCTGACAGCCTGTAATGTGTGGGCTCGCCCACGTGGCCACGGTCCTGGCAGCACTGAAGAAAGCTGGGAGATTGCAGGGGCCACGGAGAGAGGTCGAGCCTTGGTGCCAGGTCCCAGGTCCCAGGGTCGGAGTCCCTGAAGAGAGGGGAGATGTCCATTGGTGAAGAGGCAGCCTCGGTGGCAGGGGGAATCCTAACATATTGGAGATGCCAGCGAGGTTGGTGGGGTCCACCAAGGGGGGAGCAGGTGTGGGGTGGGGTGTTCTTAGCCTATGAGACAAGTTGTGTTTGTTTTCTAAGAGGTTTTTTTTTTTTTTTTCTGCGCAGTTGGCTGTGTAGAATATTACCTTGATTAAGATCCAGCATGATGGATATTCAGTTGCTGGCAGTGATGAATCCTCCTCTGAGCAGCAGCTGTGGGTCAGGCCATCCCCATGTGACCCTCCTCTCTGTCTCTCTCTGACAGAGTTTCTCTGTGAAACAGTTCTGAAACTTGCTCTGTAGACCAGGCTAACTTCAAACTCACAGAGATCCGCCTACCTCTGCCTCCCCAGCGCTGGGATTAAAGGCGTGCACCACCACAACCTGGTTCTTCTCTCTTCACCTCCTCCTCTCCTTGTGCTTCTCACATTACGCTGTCTCTCTCATGCGCACGAGTTCCTCAGGCCTAGCTTCCGGTTTTTCGATTCTTTCTTTAATAGTTTCTAGCCCAAGTTCTAACATGTGCAAAGCGGTTTGAGTTTCAGTGACTGCATGACTTCTATTTTGTTCCTTTGGAAATCTTACTGTTTTTATATAACATTTTGTGTTTTTCTTACTTATTGAATGAAAACAAAAAGAAATAAAAAGGAAGATGACTCTGCTCCCAGGTGTGGCGGAGGAGGAAGTTTATTGTTGATAAAAAGGAGAGAGCACAGCCAGAGTCTGCGGCAGAGTGCACAGGACTCTGAGCCGTGTGAGGAGAGGGGAGAGGGAGAGGGGAACAGCAACTGGGAGGGCAACCTAAACGTCCAGGGTGGACAGGGAAGAGCCTCCGGGGAAGGGCAGCCCAGTCCCTGGGCTGGAGAGTTGGGGACAGGGTAGAGAGTGGGGTATGCCAGCCACACCCTGCAGCAGGTGGTGACTGAGGGATGCTGAGAGAACCAGTCAGCCAGCTCCACTTTGATATGTTAACAGACACCTCGGCCAGTCATCCCAGGGCTTGAGACTTATTTTCAACTAATTATTTTTATTAATAATCATCCACATTAATTACTTATTTTCATTAGTTAATTTCTTTCAATTAATTTTTTTTCCAATAGCTTTGCCATTCATAGTGTAGGCCGTCTATAGTTCTTCCGCCTTTGGTCTTCTCTTTACTGTACCTGCGGCTTCTCCTGTGCAGTACGCTGTTTCCAGGGTTGGGCTTCTGAGCCTTTCACCTCACCAATAGATGTGAGAATTCTGTGTGTTTTCTCTATTAAAAACAAAACAAAACCCTTCACCTTTGTCAGTCCCGAGCTTCAGGGTGTCACCCACCAGAATCTTTTTTTTAAATATTTATTTATTTATTATGTATACAAAATTCTGTCTGTGTGTATCTCTGCAGGCCAGAAGAGGGCACCAGACCTCATTACAGATGGTTGTGAGCCACCATGTGGTTGCTGGGAATTGAACTCAGGACCTCTGGAAGAGCAGGCAATGCTCTTAACCTCTGAGCCATCTCTCCAGCCCCCACCCACCAGAATCTTAACTCTTACCGTGTCAACTCCAGAGCAGAGCAATCTGTGGTTGTGAATTTGAAAAGGAGCTTTGCATTCCCATGCTGAGATGGGCGTGTGTGTGTGTGTGTGTGTGCGCGCGCGCGCGCGTGCGTGCGTGCGTGCCTTGACAGAAACTCCAGGTTCTTGGTGTCTAAAACAACAGACTGGTCAAAACATAGTGACCATGTTCACATATACAGTCACTAAGAGTCAGAGGTTAGCGTAGAATACACTGTGCAGAATGGGAACTAGCCCCGAGTAAACATATATCTCAAGAACTCTGTTTTTTTTTCCCCCTTTGATTTTGTATTTTAATGAATTTAGGTAGAAGGAGGAGGTGATCGGAAGGGTCAGGAATGGGGTTGATCCTGACCTGATTGACTGATGAGTTGTTACATAACTTGGGATGGTCTGTTCATATATCCATGATTTTAAGCTTATGTAGGACGCAGGCATGCAGACATCAAGGGATGATAAATAGGGTATTTTCCCCTGTCATACGACTTCAAGGACAGTCACACTCACAGAGCTCATGCCCCGTACTAGTTTAAGTTGGCCTTGTTAATCTCTCCTACCAGGAAATGCCTGACCCCAAGTTATCCACAGGAGGGGCCCTGCAACAGAGCTAGGCTGTTTTAGTGGCCTGTCTCAGATTGGTGCTAATGCTTTATGGTTTTATACAGTCACCTTCCCCAGCTTGCCACATCTTGTTTCCAATTGTGTTGGCCAAAGTCCCAGCTTGTTTAGAGGGGTCCCCCTCTCCTAGGGCTACCCCAGGTATTATGATTTGCTGGCCTGGTCTATCATTTGGGTATCCTGTCCCTTTAAGAGACAAGCCCCGCTCTCTTCCAACTCCTCCCCTTCCGCAGAGGGAAGCAGATATCCTGCCTCCTCCAGCCTGTACTCTTTAGGTCTCTCTCCTGAAGAGGTAACTTCTGCTCTCTCTCCCTCCTCTCTCTTCTTCCCACTTCTCTCCTTCTGCTCTTTCCCTTTTCCTTCTATAACCAACTAAATAAACTCTATACCCAAACCTTCTCTCTGCATGACATATCTGTCTGTCTCTCACTAAGGCCTCAGGGGACTTGCCAAGGCCCAGGGTACCTGCCACTACCCCCCCTCCCCCGTGGGACCACCACCTCTCGTGGGACCAGTCCGCCACAACTATATCTTTAAGAAGGAATAACACCAGGTACGTGTACAGAGCTCACCGACACTGTTCTGTCCCTGTGTGTGCCCTTAGAAAAGCTCCTCATGGTGCCTGCTTCACTAAACAGAAGACCGATCTCTAGGCTTCTTGGATGATCTTGCTGTCATTGCTTAAAGAGTCTAACATGTGCTGTGTGCTCTTCCTGGGGAGACATCTCTGATCGTGGCTAGAGCAGGCACTCGAGTCCACGAAGCAGACCAATGGGTTCAAAGCAGTTATTTGCTGACTTATAGGATCATGGGTAATTCACAGGCAGGGGTTAGAGTACTTGGAAGTCCCTGGTGGCAGGAGGGAGGATTGACAGGATTCTCAGGTCAGGGTTTTCTGGTTCCTCCTCCTTCCCAGTAGGACAATTCCAGGGCTCACTCTTATTACTATAGACCTGGCTGTCAGCCGGATTGTTCTGCTTACTACGCTTCCGGTCAAGATCCTCTGTAGTCTGCGCCATGTCCACCGCGTACCGCGAGGGGTGCACCCACACACTGAGACAATGGGGATGTTCTATCGGGAACTCACCAAGGCCAGCTGGACTGGGTCTGAAAAAGCCTGGGATAAAACCGGACTCGCTGAACATAGCGGACAATGAGGACTGCTGAGAACTCAAGAACAATGGCAATGGGTTTTGATCCTACTGCACATACTGGCTTTGTGGGAGCCTAGTCTGTTTGGATGCTCACCTTACTAGACCTGGATGGAGGTGGGAGGTCCTTGGACTCCCCACAGGGCAGGGAACCCTGACTGCTTTTCTGGCTGATGAGGGAGGGGGAGTTGATTGGGGTAGGGGGAGGGAAATGGGAGGTGGTGGCGGGGAGGAGACAGAAGTCTTTAATAAATAAATAAACAAACAATAAGAATTAAAAAAAAATCCTCTGTAGGTTGTTCCCCTTGCTCTGCTTCCAGACAGCATGGGTTGGACCAGTTCCCAGGGAATTGCTGTGTTGTGCTCCACCAGGAGACAGGGGGAAAAAAAAAACGGACAAAGTCCAGGTAGGTCCATACCACAGAGACACCACAGCCTGGAGTCCCCCTTCTAACGGCAAGTGCTGAGAACTCCAAAAGATGGAGGATTTACAGAGTTCAGGGCAGGAGATCACTGAGTTTAAGGATTTCAGTAGCAGTTTTTGACACACAAGAATACTAAACTCGTCACTGCTGGCTTTGCTTGACCCGGAAGCCCCTCTACTGACAGGAAGCAACGACAGACCGAATTGGCTCATCCACGGACTGGCAGTGTGCGGCACACCCGGGAATAGTTTTTATACCAGCGGCACACCCGGGAATAGTTTTTATACCACGAGAGGACTGCACAAGCCTGTCTCTTAAGGAGTTAACCCCAGCATTGGACCCCGAGAGCAAACTGACCAAGCTCACCCTTTGAAATGAGTGTGCCCGTTGTTCCAAAACCAAGTGCGGGAGAGTCCAAGAAAAAAGCCAGCCCTTAATTCTCACAATTACTCTTAAAATACTGGGTGAACAGAACCTGTGATGGACATAACCACAAAACAAAAGAGCAAAACGATAAATCCGACATCACATTGGAGTCGGGGTTGTTTTAGAAACCACAGCTTGCTAAAGAAGAGAAAAATAGCATTGAGGGCTGGGGGGGGGGGGTAGCCGGTGGCAGGGAGCTGGCCTTGTGTTACTAAGGCCTTGGGTTTGATCCCCAGCAATACAAATAAATCAGTGGAAGGGGATTTAAAACTTATATAATGAAAAAAAAAACCTAGCAAGTGAAGTATGCTAAATTTGCCACCATGTTATGATTTAAAATTCTCAAAATTACCCAAATTTAGAAGCTGAAGGAATTTTTCAAAAACTGATAAGATGTACAAGGACCATCTGCACCTACATCTTCCACGGCGGAGGGAAAATGGCAGTAAGATCTGGAGTAAGAAGATGCTGCTCACTCTCATCCTATTCTGATAAGGTACCATTCTGGCTAAATGCTACTAAGCAATTCAGGAAAAATAAACGTGAAAGGCAAAATTAGAGACAGAGAAGGGGAAGCGTGCCGCTAAAGCCTTCTGAGGAGAAACGGTTTTACATACACGCGCTAGAAGCAGAGTCTTTAGGGATGACATCAGTCATTTCTAGGTTACATGGCCAGACCTTGGTCAGGATAATGCTGTAGACCAAGTCACCTGCTCCCCAGCAGCACCCTTGCCCCGGGGACAGCAGAACCATAGGCCAGCAGCCATCCTCACGTCTGCCAGCAGGTGGCGCTCGGCCTCCATGGCGCGAGCTGTAGTTACAAGCCTGCCCCCCCCCCCCCCCCCAAAAGGTTCCACTTTTCCAGGACTGTCGTGGGTTAGGAGTCAAGTGTTGCAAGCAGTGTTGGTTGTCCAGCGACACCACAGGTCCTCCGAATATCCCTGTCGTTGAGATAGCACGATTACACTTCAGGGTTAGAGCCCCACTGCCACCTGAGCAGAGGATGCAAAGCGGCAGTCACCAGGCTGAGGATAGGGGTGGGGCAGCAACTTATCCTAGTACTTTCCTTTCGCTTTTGGGGGAGGGGGGAGTACAATGCATGCTGGGTTGGTCCGGTGCGTGTGCAAACAGGGGCTATAGTAGGCAGCAGGTGACCAGTGTTCGGGCGGCTGCCTTGGCCCCGGGGCAGTCTCTAGCCCGGGAGTAAAGGCCAAATCATGCTTCCCCTGGTGTAATCATTAAGACGAACCCCGCCCCGCAGGAAAGAGGCGGGGACCACCGGAACCGAAGCTGCCCCTCCTCCACTCACCTTGATGGATTCGGTGTCAGGGGCCAGGAAAACACCTCAGCCAAAGCAGACTAGCAGGCGCCACCCAAACACCTGCTTGGCCTAGAAAGTGGCACCAGGTGAGTCGTGTACACCCGTGTCCCTTGTCGTCCCATCCTTTCCGTAGATTCTGTCTGTCCTCTCAGGACCACCTTCCAGAACCACCCCACCTCAAGTCACTTCCGACTTGGGGAACAAGTATAAAATGTTCTAAGTATAAAAATGGATATCTAGATTAGCGACCCAGGTCCTCAAGGATCAGAGGTAGATGGAAATATTGGTGGATACCCCCCCCCCTTTTGGTGCGTTGAGGGCTTTTCACGTACCTTCCCACTGTTCCTTGCTGCAGTTCAGATAGCAGACCAGGGAGAAGGGCACTTAACAACCAGGGGACTGACAGGGAAAGCAACCGGCTCAGACAGGCTTGTGTGAGCCACAGGTGGAGGAGTTCCTGGCCAGGTTTGACAGCTTCATTCCCAGGGGCAAACAGTGACAGTCAAAGCCCTTTTTCTTCCGAATCTGGATCTTGCTCTAAGTGTCTTTCCACACGCCCAGACACTAGTTTTTCCAGACTGTACACTTTCTAGACTGTCAATGACCTAACTCAAGGGAGTCACCTCCCACAAATCCCATTCTAAGCCCTGCCCCAATGCACAGGCACAGAAGTCTGCGAGGTGAGCAGTTCGGAGTCCCCATCTCTCCTACCAGCAACAATGTTTCAGTTTGCTGGGCTGTCAGGGAACACATGAGCGATAAAGACGGGGAGAGTGTGTGAACAGAAGGATGCGGCCCAAGCAAGCACAAGACCTCTCAGAAACCATTCAGAATCCAGGTATTGACGTCAGACACATTTTATTATAATCTTAATACAGTCTACATAAATTTGAACTGGTATTTATTTATTTGGGTTCAGTTATAACAGCGTCATTAAAAAAAAATCAAAGCACTGGTTGTCTGAAATAAAGCAAGCAATCAACATTCAATAAACACACTTGATTTATTCTGTATAAAAGGGTTAAGTTTACAACTAAACTTTTATAAAAAGTTTAGCATAAGTACGTCATTACATTTTTATGCAGAAATAGATATTTCTGCCACTATACAAGAAAACTTAAAGAGTTCACAAGGTTTCACTCAATATATATATATTTATATATAAATATATACACAGCATTCAGTAGGCTCACGTCAAAAAGGCCATTTCTGACCAAAGACTTCATTTAAGTAACCGAATACTGGATCCTTCGGGTGCTCACGCTCCACCTTTGAAAAAAGGCAAAGTCTGCTTAGATTGGGCAATTCCTTGTGATTTGTAACGTTTTCCGCTCCCCATGGTGGGAAGAGTATATAAAGAAAACCTTCCAACTGTAGAAAGGGATTTGAAAGTCTCTCATAAATAACGGCATCACAGTCCAGGCTGGAGAACTCCTGGGGAAGAAGACGATCACTCAGTTTTCCTTCCATTTTGCTTTTCTTTTTAAAAAGGTCCATTCAACTTGTTCTCCTGGTGAAATGGTTGAAAACAAACAAAACAAAAAGTTCAGGGTCTTAAAAGATCTTGTAGACTTCTTGTTGTGCAAAAGAAAAAGAGAAAGTAAAAAAAAAAAAAGTCCCCAGACGCCTGCAAAAGATTGGGAGAGAAAAGCAGCTTAGGAGAGAGGAACCTAAGGGCAGAGGCAGGCAGCCAGGCGCCGGAGAAGCCACAGTTTGAGCATTTAAACCAAACCCTGGCGTCCAGATGCGGCACACATACCCGGCCTCGACAGCACAAATTAAACATGAAAATAGCAGAGACACAAGGGGAAAACTTCCCAAACGCAGTCTCCTATTTGGATCTCTAACAGCCTGCTCACAGGCGCCAGGGTGCTTCTTGTAACAATTATTTGATTGAAAACAGCCCTTTGGTTAGTAGATAGGGAAATCTGGATCCCAGAACACAAGGGGTAAGGCTCAGGGTAGCAATCCTCAGCTAACTAGAGAAATCTCAGATGACCACAGTTTGGGGGAAGGAGGACCCCTGTGGAATTTGTGGCGTTAATTACAGCCGAGGTTCGTACCTCACAGGACCACCGATGGGCTCACAAAACCAGTAATAATGACACTTTGTCCTGCCATAAGTTACTGGCATTTCTTTTTTCTTTCTTTCTTGCATTCTTTTTCTTTTTTTAAGGCAAATATTCTGTAATCCCGAGTACCCACAGCTACAAGCCCCTTCATGCCTATCTGGTAAGACAAGAGGCACCCACTAACACAGCGAAGTAAGCATGCGTTTTCCAAATCAAACATCTCACAGACGCACACACAAGCACATTGCCAAAGCGCGCACACGGGAGGAGACACCCGCAAACACTCACCAATTTATTCAGCCACAGAGTACTTTGCTATCATTCGACATAAGCTCAGAAGGGAATTCAGACGCCTGGAGAGAGAGAGAGAGAGAGGATAAAGGGCAGGATATTAGACAATCTTAAAAAAAGACAGCCTCCCCTCCTCCTCTTGACGAAAGTGCCAGCAAGTCCCATTTGAAAAAAAAAAAAAAAAAAAAACAGGTTCACGCTACAATTCGGATCCAGAGACAACCCAACACAGAACTTAAGTAGCGATTTCACACGGGGCTCGATGTACAGTTTTCTTACAAATAAAGTTACTGAGCCTGTCTCTACAATGGACTTTAAGAGTGACAGGCCGGGCGACAGGGGGTTTTACGGACCGCGGGGTACTTGCTGAGCTAGCCTCACCTGCAAAGACAGAATGCTGATGTCCGTGTTCAGGGTGGTCAGCGGCGTCCTGGACGCCTGGTTCTGTGCAGGTCTCTGATGGTGCAGGCTGACGATCGTGGGGTGCGAGTCCAGGGCGATCTGCAGGTCCAAGATGTAGTCGATGACGTGCTGCAGGATTTCCATCTTGGTCACCTTCTTGTTCTGCGGGATGCTGGGCACCAATTCCTTGAGCTTGGAATAGCAGTCGTTCATGTTGTAGAGAAGGCTCATCGGGTCGTCCACCGGGGTTTTGCTCCGGGAGATGCCCAAGCCGTGGTCCGACAGGCTGTTTTTCCTAACGGACCTCACCGGACTGAAGGCTTTCATGCTGCTCGGAGAGAAGAGGCCGGGAGGGAGCCGCCGCAGGGGGGCTGAGCTGGCTGTGCGGCACCTGGCTCTGCTCAGAATGAAGCGCGAGCCGGGAGGGGCGGCTTTTATGTGCGTGCACTCTCCCGGGCCACTCGATCGGGCATCCCTCAGCAGCCATTGGTGGAAGGGGTAACGTCCATCATGCCGAGCGAATTCTCCCATTGGTGAGCGAGAGCGCTCGGTCCTTCCGCGTTTGCAGCCAATGCCCGTGGGGTGGGAGGAGCGGGCGCGAGCCCAGCTGGGGTGGTAAATTGAATACTGTACGCACTGCGAGCCCAGGGGGCCCGGGTGTGCAAATGTGCCCGCCTGATTCCCATCCCTAGAGCCGTAGGACATCCAGCCCCGAATCCGCCCTGCGGGTGTGCCCGGTGCAAGCCACCCCCGACCCAGGGCTGCCTGCTGCCCAGAGGTCTCCGCTCAGCAGAGGGGAAGTCATAGGTCTCTAGCGTCAGGGAAGACAGCAACCTTTGCAGATGGGAAAAGAAGCGCGCCTTTAGGGAGGCACGTTTGTAGAGTGAGTTCCTTCTTTTAAGATAAAGAAAAACTGGGTTTAAGAGGGGGAAGGAAAAAAAAACTATCCACGTACACATTCAGGACAGGTTTAGCTTGAGGTTTTGCAACTTGGAGCAACGCGGGAGGCCTTCTGGGAAACTGAGTGACAGGAGTTGTAGCGAATACTGTGCGGTCTTCCTCAGACCGCAGAGGAGCCCCGAGGGACCCGGCACGTTCAGGATTCTCCCCACCCCCCTTCGTTCCCCCCACGACTGAGGCAGGGTCGGTAGAATGACTCCAGTAATCGGAGGTCGTTAGTAGGGTTTGCACACTGGCACTCCATTTACATACACTGCCCTTGGTCTGTGCCCTTCAGTGTAGGTGGCGGTGTGATGAGATTAATTATGCACAAATCGCGATTTCTGGTGTCACATTCCAGCGCTTAGAGCTCTGGGGAAGCTCTTTGTCAGGTAGGTGGTCCTAGCTATTGACTGACAGCTTATCGCTGTTTTTAGAGAAAATTCTGTTGCGTACGAGGTTAGGAATCCTTCAGCAGCACCTCTTTCTAGATGCAGCTACATTTTAGAAAGTTTGGAGCTCTTGACTCCGGCACTTTCATTCTCGCTCCGCAGAAGACTACCGTATATTAGAGGAAAAATATTTCTCTAAAACAAAACAAAAACAGAAAGGGTAAACTGGTAGTATCGTGTTGACTTTTTTTTTTTTTTGGTCTGACTGTAAGAAAGAGGAAGAAGGCAGAATCCGGGCAAAGCTCTGTAGTGGGGGGGGGGGGGAGGAGAACACTATTTTCCCTTCAATTAATGATTAATTCCTCAGCTGGTGGGCCAGGCACTCTCTGACCTCCACGTGACAGCCATGTGCCCCAGGGCTTCTCTCTAGGGAGGCAGAGTCCGGTGGCGCAGAGGTGGTAAAATCCGGCCACCTAAAGTGTGCAGGATGCAGAGGGACGCTGCCCTGCAGGAAGAAATCTGCGCTAGCCCTGCGGTGCCGCCTGCCACTGGGCGACAGCGTTCCAACCGAAGACTCGCCTCCGTTATTAAGCCTGGAAGTGATTTACTCTCTGAGTCCCCCCACAGTTCGAGCCTCTTGGTGTACTTTTTTGTGTGCGTGTGTTTCTGTCACATACGTGCCACAGCGGAACAGATTTTGTTTTGACACTTTTGGTTCATGATGTTATACTCTGAGTATTTTACAATAATAGCCAATGTAAACAAACATCTCTGGGATTCTCAAATTATTACTTATGATTCTTGGACATTGCATCTCTGCGGTACTGACGCATTCTTCTCTTTTTCCAAGGACACCGTATGTTAGCACCCGTGCCAGCCTCATTATCCCAACAGAAAGGCCCTGGGCTGGATGGTAATGCACGCTCTGCAGCTTCGCTCCACACTCTGGCAGCTACAACGCATGAGCGCCTTCTCCCAAGACCATTCTTGTACCCTGATATAGTAAAATTGCTAAATATGGTGAAAGTTCCCTGGCGTTTCTCTCTCTGGCTGCCATGCCAGAGTCCAGTCTGCCGGGCTTCGCTGAATCCGATTCTGTTGGCATAGTACCCAGTTTTTGCATTCATTTAAAGATCATTTTAAGGGGATCGTGAAACTGTATAAGTCAATGACTGAGCAAAGGCCTGAGTTACTAGTAAGTCTGTCACAGCAAGCCCGGGCTGACATTTCTTGAAATTATGTTTTGGGGGCCCCGCGATGGGGTGGGAGCCTTTTTCGGGACGGCTTATAATGGCACATAAAAATCTGCCAATTGGTGTGGATGTGGATTTTCATCTGAGAGCCCTAAAGTTCAAATGGTCCCAGCTGCAGGACGCGCCCAGCTGCAGTAAGGGCGGGATCCGTGGGTGGTGGGAAGGTGTGAAGGGCTTCCGGCGCGCGGGGGGGGGGGGGGGGGAGGTGCTGGTGGTGGAAATATTGGCCGGTCCCAGCTACTCACTGGGACGCCCCCCACTTAAAGCAGCAGACCCGCTCTGGAGTTCCCCGAGCCTTGCTACCAGGCCCCCGGATCCCCCACCGTGTCCAGGCCACGCGCGGTAATCAGAAGCAGGTTCGGGCCCAGCCCCTTTGGCTACAATCCCCGCGTGATGCCACGGGGGTGTTGGGGGGGAGCGGGAGGAGCCGGCGCGGCGGGGGCGAGTCCCAAGGTCCTCTCTGCACATCTGGCGCAATTGGGAGCTCTTGCCTTTCTTCCCCTCGGTTTTGTTCTCACAGCTGTGTCCATTCCGCCCGTGACCCCCCGAGTGATCCCTGACAGGTGATGAATTGGCAGCAGCGGCGGCGGCGGCGGCGGCGTGCGGGCCAGGCCGCGGCGGGGCCGGAGCCGGAGCCCCGGAGCAGACTCTCTGGCGCCAGGCGCGTGACGCCGCCCATTCACGCCGCCCTGCAGCCTTGTCCTCGCGGCGCCGCTCAGGCGGCTGCCATGGCAACCGCGCCGTCACTCAGCGCGCGAGCCCAGCTGATCAATGCCTGCAAGGCCCCGGCGGTCCCAGGCTCGCCCTGACCGGGCCTTCAGCCTGCGCGCACCTGCAGTCTCTGCACGTCTTAAGTTTCGAGTGATTTGGGGAAAAGGAAGGAGGAACGAGAAGAAAAGAACAGGAGAAAGGGGGTAGGGGAGTAGGAGATGGGGGGGGGGAGCCAGAAGAGGGAGAAGAAAGAAATCTTCCGTCGCAAGAGGGGGCGTTAATGTGGCTTAGACGTTGCCAAAGCAAAAGGTTTTGCTTTATTTCATTTGTTTTTGCAACAGAGACATGGAGCTGGCGGGAGGGGAGAAGTGGAGGCGAAGGAGGTCACTGTCTCATCGCAGGGCAAGATTTGTTTATTCCTCTGGATCTTCTTGGTCCTTGCCTAGATGGCTTTGGCTCAAAAAAAAAAAATTCTTTGAAGGACTCCTTTCCGCAACACAACACGACAGCCCCCCCCCCCCGTCACCTCGTTCTACAGACATTCTGGTAGGAATCCTTAGTGGTTATGCAAAGAGCATCAGACTTATCCAGAACAGCCCCACCCCCACCCCGAGAGAAGGAAGGATGATGCCTTGCTGCCTGCGGTCCTCGGGCTCCTCTGAGCCTCAGCGTGCAGCTCCCGCAACTGCGTGCTGCTCTTTTCCGCTACAAAAGCTGGGGGGGGGGGGCGGGTGAGGCGAGCCCCTTCGTAGTTCTGAGTTTTCGCCTGACATCACCCAGAGTCCAGAAACTTGTAAGTCAGCCTGCAGACGCAGACACCTCCTCTGTCCCGGGTTTATCTTCAGGGAAAGCTCCCTTTTAGGAACCAGATGCCAACATTTCCGGATAGTTTACGGAACCCGGATCCCCCAAGGGTGCTCATCCACGGCTGAGAGTGTTAGCGGCAGTTATTCATCCCCTGTCCTCCAGAAAAGCTCCCCAATACAATCGTCCTCTGCTGGCCCTAAAACCTAGGGTGAGGTGTGTGCGCGCGGGCGGGGGGGGGGGGGG